TTTTTTAATTTATTTTTAATTTCTGAAGATACAGCTAGCCAATTCATTACACGATTCTTCCACTTATCCAAGTTTTCAGCTGAAACAAACAATCAACAAATTTGCTAGACTATTTTTATGCCATTCATCATTAACGGTTGCAAACACAGTCAAACCTTCTTCTTCTTGATACGCACATTGGTACGATGTGGACAAGGACAATAATGGGCATCTTTTCCCGGCGCTCCAGGCATTCCATTCATTCCTGGAGTTCCATCGTTTCCGCGCTGTCCAGGCATACCAGTTTGTCCCGGCGGTCCCTGTTGGCCCGGCTGACCTGGTGGGCCGTCGTTACCATTTGGCCCAGGTTTACCCATATCTCCTCGCGGGCCCATAGTTCCTGGCATACCAGCCTGACCCACCCCCTTCCTGCCATCCATGCCAGGTGATCCCGGCCGACCATCCATACCTGGATGACCGGGTTGTCCAGGTTCGCCCATAGGTCCCGCTGGTCCAGGTGGACCGTTCTGTCCACGATTTCCTGGGCTTCCAGGTCTGCCATCCATTCCTGGGTTGCCTGGTTGTCCATCGGGCCCAGGAGGGCCTGGCGGTCCCGGTGGGCATCTGATACATGCCGTATCTGGAGCAGGACAATGGATGGGTGCATAAATAGTCATATCATCTCGACCTGGTGGTCCAGGTGGACCAGGGTTTCCTAAAAACAAGGATGATTAAGAAGGCATTTTTCGAAGAAATAGCTTACTCATATTACTTACCCGGCATTCCCGGCTGTCCGGGTGGGCCGGGAGGACCAGGTGGGCAAGTGATCCTCTCTGGCTCACAATGACACCATGCTGGTAAACCAGCGAATGACTGTCTTTTTGGTCGGAAAAAGGAACTAAACGGATGTCTAGGTGCTTTCGATGGAGGATTGACATGAAGCTGGATATCCATCATTTCCACCCATGCTGAATCCGTTTGCACACGAAATGCGGCAACCGCGTTAAGTACCTAAAATGAAATTTTATCCACCTTAGAGGTATTTCTAAACTACTCGGCATTAAGAAAGCTTTAGTTTTTTGTCTTGGCCATAGCAAGAACCTACTCATAATATTATTTCGTTTAGGATGCTGCCGCTTCGAGCATTCCTAGGGCAAACCTACCATGTCGTGTACTTCAGTGATCTCATTGTACAGTGATGGGATCACGACGAGACATGCAATGATCGAGAAGAGAGAAAAAGCCGAAGCAACTTCCACAATGTGCTTCTCGACCGACATCGCTGCACATTCTCTCATACCGTAATTGCCAAGCTTTTATACTTTATAGGTAAGACCGTTTCACTTTCAATACTCCGACATTGAGAAACTCGGGGAAAAAATTCGCAAGACGTCGTGGATGTCATCTCGCCGCTAACGGCTTCCGTAGAAGCAAATCGTCCAAACGCTTAGGCCTACGAACACAAAAACAATAGTTCCGTGTGGGTAAAGTGGAACTAGCCGTAATTCGTTACCGCCCAATGGCTTGCGCCGGGACGTACTTACCATTTTTTTCAGTTCATTCAACGAAGTGCACATGAAGGGGCGGTGTGAACGAAATGGAACTTTGCTGAAGGCAGAGAAAGCATTAAAATTTTTATAGTGATCAACGTAAACAATGCATGCATTGCTGCATTTTACAATTCCATATCTTACAAAACTGGGGGTTTCAACAAATTTTGGTTTTTCTTGCGTTATTTTCAACTGTTTTGTCGCAGCCGAATCTTAATTGTAGTGTGCTACTGTACATTTCTCACAGTTGATGCAGCACTACGTCGCCCAGCCATTATTAAAAGGAATAGAGCTCAAACCATTTGTTGATAATGGATACAAACCATAAAAATTTTTTTCAAACATGCCCTTATGGTCCGCACTAAATAATCTTCCTTTCGCATTTAGAG